TTAGGTAGTTTACAGTGAGGGTTTACAATGATTTGTAGTACAAAGAGAGCCTATATCATTGTTAGGCATTACGGGCAGTCTAAATTTAATAGTTTACTGATTACTTAACACTAGCCTTACAAAACAAAGATTGATAAGGTTGCATTAGTTATACAATAGGTTATACATGTATTAAATATTTGCTATTCAACATTTGCATTAGGTTAAAATATGATAATTTATTGTACTTTGAGCATTTACTTTCGGGGTTCTGAGGCTAGGGGAGTAACACAGTGAGCAATCATATTTTGAGGTGGTGGAGAGTGAATTGGTAGCTTTGTAGGTAATGTTAAGTACTGCATATTTCATTTTGAGTGTGTAGGTGGTTTTTAAGAAGGGTCTTGAATTGATGTACAGACAGGGTTCCTTTGGTATTCAGAATTAGATTTTTGCCACCGAAGTGGCTAATTTATTGTGCACCCCATATCTACTCTGTGGACGGTAGTGCAAGAGCATATGGATACACAAAAGACCTAGGAATTAGGCCCCAAAAGGGTTAACAGGTGTACATATGGGTTTTTTATTTAAATATCTACAGTTCACTTATCTGTTACAAGCAAATTTAGGAAATTTGCTTAGTATATCTGGTATCTTATTTTCATTAATAAGATATCTTGACATGTCACATAGGTTATTATACTCTCTGTCTCTGTATTCCTCAATAAGTGGGCAATCAAGCACATAGTGTTCAAGACAGTGACCATATGCCTGATCACATAATTTGCATTTAGTTTGATCATGATCTGTGTGTCTCCCAAACTGCCAGAAGTACTTGTAACCAAGCCTAAGTCTGGCAACTACAACATCAGTCAGTCTGTTCACTGGTAATCAATTCCAAATTTTAGGCCCTTTATGTGTACAGAGTTTTTACATAGGTGGGGATGGAACATCAGGGAGTGATCTGTGCCTTGTGTTATGGCCGTGTGTCCTCTTAATATTTAGTAAAGAGAATCTTGAATGGAGGGTTTATATTTGAATGTAGTGTTTTATGTATGTAGTAGGCACAATAATAGGTATGGATGTTCTTCATGGTGGGTAAGTTTAGACTTTTGAATATTGATGGAGTATGCTGTCTGGAGTGGGAATTTGTTATTCTGACTGCAGCCTTTGCTGGGTAATTAATGGTCTGAGATGATTTATTGTTGTTAAGCCCCATGCACAAATTCCATAGGTGAGATAGGGGTAAAAGAGTGAGTGATACAAGGCAAGGAGAGCTGGTTGTGGGACATAGTACCGTATCTTTGATAGTATGCCTACAGTCTTAGATATTTTTTTGGGAAATCTGTTGTATGTTTTTGTTATTGAAATTCAATTTCAATAACAAAAACGTACAATGGGATTAAGTAAACCATGTCCTAAATGAAACAAGCTGGGAATATATCCTAAACAACAGGGATCTGAACATTTGCCTTGAAAAAACAAATTCTGTGGATCTTGAGATCTGCTCAAGGCACATTCCATTAAGAAAAAGAAAGAGAAGATGTAAACTAGAAAGAGAGAGAGACATTCCCTATACAGATGAAGGCAAAGAGTCACAGAGCTGCTGGGTGGGGTCAATATATCTGAAATACAAAGGGAGGCACTAGTCAATGAAATTGCAAATATCAAACTTAAGCTGAAGGAATCTTATAGGAGACAAGAATCACAGAAAGAACTAAAAGCCATAAAGGAAATTAAAAAGAAAAATACTTCTTCTCTTATGCCAAATCTAAGGAAAAAAAAACATCCCTATTGGGCCCCTGCTTAGGCGGATGGGACAATACACAATATAGCTGAAAAATGATGAGAACTGAAGTCCCAATATGACTCAGTGTTCACCGAGGCACTGCCCACTCTAAGGGTCAACAATCCAAATGAATTCTTTATGAACGAAACCCAAAATTTGGTCATCCTAAAACTCTCAGATATTCTAACTCCACAAGATTTTGAAGAGGCAATTAATGACATGCCCATGAACTCTGCCCTAGGCCCAGACTCATGGAACTCTGTGTTCATCAAGAATAGCAAGAAGCCCCTATCACATGCCTTCAGCATTTTATGGAGAGGGAGCATGGACACAGGGGTCATCCCACACACACTAAAAACAACAGACATAGCCCCACTCCACAAAGGTGGCAATAAAGCAATTGCAAAGAACTACAGACTGATAGTACTAACATCACATGTCATAAAAATCTTTGAGAGGATTCTAAGAAGCAAGATAGCCAACCACCTAGATACCCATCAACTACACAACCCAGGGCAACATAGGTTTAGAGCAGGTTGCTCCTGCCTGTCCCAGCTACTGGACCACTATGACAAGGTCCTGGATGCTGTAGAGGATAAACAAAATACAGATGTAGTATACACAGACTTTGAAAAAGATTTCGACAAGTGTGACCATGGCGTAATAGCTCACAAAATGCGGGATAAAGGAATAACAGGAAAATTTGGTAGAGGGATCTACAACTTCCTGACAAATAGAACACAAAGAGTAATAGTAAACAGAGTAAAGTCCCAGGCAGCCATGGTAAAAAGCTCTGTTCCACAAGGCACAGCGCTTGCTCCCATTCTATTCCTCATCCTCATTTCTGACATAGACAGAGATGTAAGCCATAGCTCCGTGTCTTCCTTTGTGGATGACACCCGGATCACCATGGCAGTGACCTCCATCGAAGACACTGCAAGATTCCAGCGGGACATCAACAAATCTTCAAATGGGCACTCAAATACAAATGAAATTCAACAGAGAAGTATACAACTACCAGATATGGAAAACCTTGAAGAAATATAAAAAATGTGCCCTGGGTATAGCGATAACAAATTTAACCATACATAGCAGCCAAAAAGTAATGTGAAGGAACTAGGAAATGTTGGAGAGGATCTACCTCCAAAGTAACACAAAACGTATCTACCTCATAACTAGGAAAATGATAGGATGGATAATGAAACCTTCAAAACTAGGGATGCCAATCACCATATGTTTTCGCTTCAAAAATGCTTGTGCTTCTGTAGGCTGGAATACGCTGTATCACAAATGCAGCCTCTTCAAGGCAGGTGAACATTGCAACCGGGATTTCAACAAAACTTTCATGGCCACTAACAATAAATGTTCAAAGGCACCTGAATCTTGGAACATTGAGGTCATGAATCTGTAATTTCTCAAATGGCAGGGCAAAAGATACATGAGCAAAAATACATTTGGAAGGTCCTGGAGGATATGGTTACCAAACTGCCTCAGACCACAAAAAATCACCATTAGATGATAGCAAAATGACTCGACAGGGATGCAACATCCCCATGATGAAAGCAGGGTGCCGAGTACACTGCTGACACAACACAATCATGTCCAAGGCCAAGATGTTCATTGCCTCCTGCACTAAGGGATTCAAATAACCCCTGGCTGTTCCAAAAGCACAGACAGGCACTATTAAGTCTTGAGTATTCCTCAAAGCGGCTGAGGATTGTACGATAGTTGATTCACCTGCGTAAGCCTGGGTTGGTACAAACCCTGATCACAACATGAGTCCTGGTCTCAGAAGGCTGCGGGGGCATTGACATCCCTGAAAACTTCCCAGTAACTCACAGGAATAGTGTCGAAATTTAGTAGGCTACCGTCTAAGTGGATTACCATAAGAATTTCCCTCTGTTAGAACGTGGCAGTCATCTAGTTATCATTATTCAAGTGAACATTGGTAGCTGTGTTTCCAAACTGGCATTGGCAGAGAGACGTGAAGTAGATGTATCGCAATGAGGTGGGTTGAGACCTGAGGTGGAGAGCCCCGAAGTTCTGGACAGTGTGCACAGTGTACCTGAGTGAGAGACCGAGTCGGGACAGTGTGCAAGTGTACCTTGAGGTAGAGATTTGAGCCCTAGCATATAAGTAATGCACATGTCAACTGAGGGGTGAGAGACGAGTCAGGAGACAAAGTATGCACAGTGTACCTGAGGTGAGAGACCGAGTCGGGACAGTGTGCACAGTGTACCTGAGGTGAGAGACTGAGTCAGGAGACTAAGTATGCACAGTGTACCTGAGGTGAGAGACCGAGTCAGGAGACTAAGTATGCACAGTGTACCTGAGGTGAGAGACCGAGTCAGGAGACTAAGTATGCACAGTGTACCTGAGGTGAGAGACCGAGTCAGGAGACTAAGTATGCACAGTGTACCTGAGGTGAGAGACCGAGTCAGGAGACTAAGTATGCACAGTGTACCTGAGGTGAGAGACTGAGTCAGAACAGTGTGCACAGTGTACCTGAGGTGAGAGACTGAGTCAGAACAGTGTGCACAGTGTACCTGGGGTGAGAGACTGAGTCAGAACAGTGTGCACAGTGTACCTGAGGTGAGAGACTGAGTCAGAACAGTGTGCACAGTGTACCCGAGAAAGTAAACCACTAACCTTATATTTGGTTTAATATAGCAACTTTGTGGTGAATTTCTAGGATTGTTTGTATAGTTTTATTGGTTGTTTCTTGGTGTTAATTGATAGAATGGAAGACTTACTAGTGAAAAGGAAAGAATTTTGGTTGGTTTCAAACTGGAAGTAGTTTGAAGTAGAGCTCAAAGCGACAATTATTTGATTATAGGCAGTTTCCATAAAGAAGGGCAGGATCCTCCCTAGCCCCTACATGTTATTTTCATGTTTTCAGTAGGTCTGCTTCAATTATTGCAGTGGTTATATTTCTGTACTCAGAGAATTTTGGTATTATATAGAGGAAGCTACAGGAGACATACTGAACTGAGGCAAAGTTGTTTTAGTGGCTGGAGTGTTTACAGTGTTTTTCAGCATCTTCATTAATCTGTTCTCCTACTGTATTATTAATGTTCATCCTATATCATCACTAATCTATGCTCATCTATTATCATAATACAGTCCACCACCTCTAGTTCATTCTCATCATTACTCTCTTCTCACCAGGTAGTAAAAGTCACCTACCTAACATAATCAGTGCATAACAAACACTGTTCTAATATTTGTGTTTCAGAGGCAATGTTTTAACCTGAAGAGAGAGTGAATCGACAACATGGAGGCTTCATGTTCTTGGTCATCTCCAGACTTTGGAACTGCACCGTTGTCACTTCTGGTTTCTCCAATAATTTCTGTCTAACAGATCCAGCGGCTTGTGGAAGTTACCCTCTCTTTATTTTGAACTCTGTTTTTAAATTAGAAATTTTTTGAATTTGTAAAATTAGTCAAATTACCTTAAAATAATTGAATGGTTGGTTTCCTGTACATAATTGATAGAACAGTAGGTGTGTTGGCTAAGAACTGGATCAACTTAATTATTAAAATAGGCAAAAATAGGATGCAAAATAGGCCAAATTATTGATGCATATAGTTGTGCCAGAATAATTCTCTTAGTTTTCCATCAGATATTGCATTTGTGGTGTCATAACTTGAGAAAAACATTCTTTACCATTTGAAAATTTGTGACACTCAGCACTTTTAATTTTCGGAGTCACAATAGTAAAGGAGTTAAGGACTTAAATGACTTTTATGACAAACAATAAGATGCAGTACATTAGAGCTTCTTCAAGGAAACAAACGTATCAGTGTTCTGAATGTCTAAAAAAATTTTCACATAAATCATATCTAATACGACACATGAGAGTTCATTCTCAAGAAAAACCATATCAGTGTTCTGAATGTCTAAAAAAGTTTTCACGGAGATCAAATCTAATAGAACACATGAGAGTTCATACAAGAGAAAAACCATATCAGTGTTCTGAATGTCTAAAAGAGTTTTCACAGAGATCAACTCTAATACGACACTTGAGAGTTCATTCTCAAGAAAAACCATATCAGTGTTCTGAATGTCTAAAAGATTTTTCACTGAGATCAAGTCTGATACGACACATGAGAGTTCATTCTCAAGAAAAACCATATCAGTGTTCTGAATGTCTAAAAGAGTTTTTACGGAGATCATACCTAATAGAACACTTGAGAGTTCATTCTCAAGAAAAACCATATCAGTGTTCTGAATGTCTAAAAGAGTTTTCACGGAGATCAAATCTAATGCAACACATGAGAGTTCATTCTCAAGAAAAACCATATCAGTGTTCTGAATGTCTAAAAGAGTTTTCACACAGATCAAATCTAATACGACACATGAGAGTTCATTCACAAGAAAAACCATATCAGTGTTCTGAATGTCTAAAAGACTTTTCACTGAGATCAAGTCTGATACAACACATTAGAGTTCATTCACAAGAAAAACCATATCAGTGTTCTGAATGCCTAAAAGAGTTTTCACAGAGATCAAATCTAATACAACACTTGAGAGTTCATTCAGTAGCAAATTCCTTTTAAGAATGGTTGCCTTGATGCTGGTAATATGCTGTTTATCCAAGGAGTTAAGAGCTATCCCTCATGTTCCTTGGATCAGATATGAATACCCTCTACCCCTTCATATTTTCCAGGGGCTGTATGACCCATACTGATTTAGCACTCATTCTTGAATTTAATTATCATGAGGTAAACTATATTTTTGAGTTACATAACTTTTTTGTTTTGTATCAAAGCAGAATGATTCCCATTTCCTAGGCATTGTATGACCTTTACAGGTTAGTGTTTCCTCAAAAATGAAATAATTCTGGCTTCTTGGATGAATATTTAATCAGACAAACTGTTATTAATTTCACCTGGAAGCTAATATATTCTCCACAAATCATTTTATGAAGCTTTGCAACAACTTAAGTTTTGTCTTGTAGATAATTGTTATGACAATTTATTTTACTGCTCAAGTAGTATGTAACTATGACCGGTTCAATGGCCGGGTATGGTTTATGTCTAGAATTTTGACTTTTCCCACCCACATATTTTTGTTGTTTTAGCAGAAAGTTTTTAAGTTGCATCTTGCAGACACTGGTATTGTTCATATCTTTATATGTTAAGGTGATGATTTACATGCTGAATTTTATGCTTACTGTGGCATGCAAAGAGTACATAATCTTTATTCGGCGCATGTACACACCCTCATTGAAAGGCTATCTCCCCCAACCAGCGAACCAGTACTAAGGATCGGACAATGGGGACCCGTCGTTCGATCAGTACCCAGGTTCAGACAATGAGAAGATGGTTTTGGCAATTGCAGAGGTGTTGTGGGCACCACAGCACCTCTATCTGCCTTTGTCATTTCCATTCTAGAGCTGGTTGAAGCACGGTCTACTTCTGAGGCACAGTGTCTTCTATTCTGCCTTGCTTACCGTGGTTGTGCACTAATACTATTGTGCACTAATACCTATTGTGCACTAATACCTATTGTTGTACATTGTGTATATAGTGTACATACTTCTGTTCTTACTTGGAGAAAAGATAATATAAGTCAAAAGGTTTTCTGCTGTGTTTATTTTGCTCCCTTTATACCCAGGATAACAGGCCTTTGGATTCCTGGGTTGTAATGCTTATAAATATCACTTTCTCCACCCATACTTTTTATTGTTGAAGGAATTTTTTAAGTTTGTTCTTGCCAACAATGTTATTGTCAATTTATATTTTAGGGTGATGTACTTGGACTATTTAAGGGAGGGGTGAGCCTTTTTCCAGTTTCAGGAAATTAGAATTGAAAAATTAAGGAAAAAAAAAATTTCTTAATGAAAAAAAAAAGAAGTACAAAATTCTGGCAACATTTTTCCTCTTCAAGGGGGGGCTCCTTGGCGTGGTGAAGAGGCTCTTGGTCTGAGGAATTAGACCTGTCGGTCTCCTTCCTCAGACCCAACCTAATTACCCCCCAATCCCCCCTTCCCTATCCCATCCTCCCCATCCTCCCCTTTTTCCTTTCCTCCTCCTCCTCCCCACCCCTCCCTTTTGCCCTTCCTCTTTTTGGCCTTTGGGTCTTTTTCTCACAGGCGTGCTAGTTCCTTGGTAGGGGAAGGGGTACAGAAGTCCATCCCATTCCGTTGAGGTTCTTGGCGGTGGCGTAGTTTGCTGTGGAATCTGGATCACCTGGGGATGTCCCAGTCCCTCTCCGGTATCCCGGAGGGTGGCTTTGGGTGTCTTTCGAGCGACGGGTGTATCTCTGGAAGCCACCTTTCGGATTCCGGGGGTGGTGGCCGAAGGAGATATGCTTTGTGGTGGTTATCCGGCCGCCCTCTCTTTTGTCCACCGAGGTGGCTCAGCAGATGTGAGGTTGCTATCCCGGAATGCTGGTTTACTGGCATGAAGGGTAGGGTATGGCACTGGTTCCATGCTGCATCTGCACTACTAGTGGTGCTGAGGTCCTCTTGGGCGCGGAGGGAGATTTCCGGCCCTTTCATTCCTCCTAGGAACTATCCCTCCCTGGTCCCCCCTTTTTTTTATTCTTTTTTTTTATTTTTATTTTCTTTTCTTCTTTCTTTTTTTTCTTAAAAACAAAAAGAAAGAAGTAACCTAACCATGGAGTCCCAAATCCATGACTCCACTACCCCCAGGCCCCTTATTGTTACCGCACCCTGTTCTGACCTCGCCTTGTCTTTTGGCCACTCTTTGGACACTCCTAAGGCCCCTGTACCTCTTGCTGGTGCCGTTTCATCACCTGCTTCAGGTGCCGAGGTTTCAACTGACTCTTTCGATTTGTCTGACCTCCACTCTCCTTTGACTATGCTTCCGGCCTCTCCCTCTATGGTGCGGCAATTTTCGAATCGCCAGCCCATCCCACGTCAGACCGACTCTGGTCCCACTTCTAAATGCCAACGACAATCTCCTGATGATGTTACTTCGTTGCCTTCCCATTCTACTCAGAAAAGACCGACACGTCATGCACTCCCTCTTCACACTCAGTTTCGGACCACACAATGGACTAAATTCTTTACTTTAAGTCCGGCGTCTTCTACTGGCTATCTTTCCGTCCATAGTATTGGTAAAGCGCTCCTATGCCACATTGGTAGAGATATTTCCTTTCATGCTCTTAAGAGTGGTATGCGCATCATCACAGTCCAGAATTCTACCCAAGCTCATGATCTTTCTCTTCTTTCACATATCAATTCTATTCCTATCACTCTCAAAAAACATCATTCCCTCAATTCTTGTAGTGGTACTGTTATTCTGCCCCATACCATAGTCCAACAGAATTTCCAGACATGTGGCAATAACATTCTCGAACAGCTGGAACTCCAAGATCTCCCAATTCTCAAGGTAGACACTTATGTTCTTCCTGCCCGCGGGCGATGTGGCTCGTTTAACTTTTGACAACCGTGAACTCCCATCCTCTGTTTATGTAGCAGGACATCGGTTACAAGTTCGGAAGGTGATCCATACACCGCAACAGTGTAGGAATTGCTGGCAATTTGGCCATCCAGCAAAATATTGCAGATCTATAGCCGAATGCCCGGTCTGTGGTGCCGATGACCATTCTAATACGTCTTGCAGTCGAACTCCCTCTTGCCTTAATTGTCATGAGGCTCACCCTTCGTACTCTTGCAGTTGCCAGGTCTACTTAAATGAGTGGGAAATTCGTTGCCTCAAAGAGGCAGAAGGTCTCCCTTATGCTATGGCAGTTTCTCATCTCTGCCTCCAAGGGAGACTACCCCGTGTTTCTTATTCTCGTATTTCAAAACGCCCCCCCCCACTTCTGGGGTCCCATCTTCTGCAGCCTCCTCTGTGGTTGCCAGTCCCATAGTCACTCCTGTATCTAATTCTTTGCTGTCCTGGGCTCCTATGTCCCTACTTCAACACCTCAGTCTGTCCTCACTTCTTCGTGTTCTTTCTCACAAACCCCGGTATCGACAAGACCTCATACGACACCTCCTCCCAATCGTCCCTCTACTTCTCAGAGGCCCAGAAAATCCACTTTTAACCCCTCCTTCCCTTCATCCACCTCCACATTTTACCTTCCCAGTCTCTGTACCTGGGTCTTCCCCTTCCACTGGCTCTGTTACAAGTGTGGAGGTTCATCCTCCTCCTCCTTGTACTGTGCCTTCCTCCCCTGTCCCCTCCCAAATTTCTTCCTCTTCTGCCACCTCCCAGGTTTCTGCCTCTCCTGTCCCCTCCCACACTTCTCCAGTTCCCTCCACCCTTTCGCCCCCCCCCTACCTTGGTACAGTCCATTACAGTTCTGATCTTTACTCAAACTCCTCCTCCTTCCATCTCCAATATTGTCTCTCATACGACGTCTCTGAACTCCGAAACACTTGAAGAAATCTCTGAATATATTGCAGAGACCAAACCATCAACGGACACTGATCCACCCTCTATTCCTTCTCTTTCCTCTTCTCCATCTAGGTCAGGAGTTGCCGCTATTCAAGTTGAGTGTGATGATACTGAAAAACTTCCTGTAACAACAGAAGCAAGGCTGTGCAATTCAGCCATCTTGCAAAATCCCTTGGCACACATGAAGGGACTCAGTGTACAGGGAGCCTGTGACTTGGTTCAGTTACTCCAAAAATTTCCAGATTTGTTTGGGGATGTACCCAAAGTAAATTGCCTCCCCATGATGTGGATGTCGGGGAAGCTGTTTCAATAAAGCAGGCTCCTTACCACATGAACCCAACAAAACAACTTCACATGGAGGAAGAAGTGAAATTCCTCCTTCAAAACCAGTTTGTAGTGCCTAGCGAGAGTCAGTGGGCATCTCCATGCCTGATGGTTCCCAAACCTGATGGATCTATGTGTATGTGCACTGACTATCGCAGAGTAAATGAAGTAACGAAGGCTGACTGTTACCCTTTGCCACGTATGGATGATGTGATTGATACTGTAGAAGGGGCAAAATTTGTGAGCAAACTGGACTTAAAGGTTATTATCAGATACCCCTCACCCAGCGAGCCAAAGAAATTTCAGCCTTCGTCACTCCAGATGGGTTATTTCAATATAATGTTCTTCCTTTTGGGTTAAGAAATGCTCCTGCCACCTTCCAGCATCATATAAATGCTGTCATAAGGGGGTTGGATGGTGTATGGGCCTATCTAGATGATATTGTGGTATTCAGTAACCAGTGGGAAACTCACTTGGTAAGATTACAAAAGTTGTTTGAACGTCTAGCCCAAGCCAAACTAACCATCAATCTGAGCAAAAGTGAGTTTGGCCAAGCCAGTGTACAATTCTTAGGATATGTAGTTGGTCAGGGGAAAGTTGCCCCAATTAATGCTAAGGTGGAGGCCATTATAAATTTTCCTAGACCACAGAATCGGAAGGCAGTGATGAGGTTCCTGGGCATGGTGGGTTATTACAGATGGTTCTGCCCCAACCTCTCCCAGGTAACATCACCACTGACAACTTCGACCAGTCCCAAAGTTCAATTCAGCTGGGACAGCAAGTGTGACAGGGCTTTTGAAAATGTGAAAATGTTATTAGGGAATGGTCCTATCTTGAAAAGTCCTGAGTTTGAATGCCCCTTCTCTCTACAAGTGGATGCTAGTGATGTAGGGGTAGGTGCAGTGTTGTTGCTGGGGTGATGAGAGAGAGAGCCTTCAGCCAGTTTGTTACCATTCAGCCAAATTAAAAAGCATCAATGTGGTTATGCCACTGTAGAGAAGGAGGTTTGGCTATGGTGTTGGCTGTGCAGAAATTTGAAGTTTATATCAGTGCTTCCCCACATCCTGTAATAGTGTATAGTGACCATAACCTCTGAGGTTTTTGCAAAGAATGAGAAACCACAATCAAAGACTCTTAAGATGGGGGTTTGTTCCCACAGCCTTTTAATTTGGGGAAATTAAATATAAAAAGGGTAAGAATGTGGGGGCTGATGC